TGATTTTTTATACAGGTTGGTGTGCCTGAAAGGCATCATGATACAGCTTTGCTTTTCAAGGATGAATGGTGACCTCCCGTCTGGATCAGTCCTGTTGAAACCAGTTACAATACTTATTAATATAATATTTAACATTTAGATCTAGTTTTACAAAAGCTATGCTAATATGGGTATGACTTACAAGGTTTGAATTCCACAAGAATGATGTCAAAACTAATAAAGAGTGTATGCATATTAATAAAAATGCATTTTTTAGTGTTGTTTAGTTTAGTATTTAGTTTAGTAAGTATTTAGATTTGATTATTCTGAAGCAATTTATTTGATTTCATTTCTGTTAGTATTTTGTTCTATTATTTGTTTAGGTTAGGTGTTTTTTTGGTGTTTACTATTTGTGTTTTGTTTCATTTGGGCACGTTAGGGGGCACGTACGATTATATTTAGAATCCCGGTACTGGACCAGGATGCACCGGGGTGGGCATGTGGTTTTTACCGGAGCGGGAGAGAAACGGAGAATTTGTCTTTGTTAATGTTTGCTCGCTTTTCTGGTCAAATAAACCACGGTTTTCTACTGAAATTGGATACTTGTTTGGACAGCTGTTTTTCCCGTCCGCGTACACCACAACCCATGGTGCAACAGTGGCCCTTTGATTTTTCTAATTTAAAGGTTTGATTTGAAACTTTTATTTTTGACAAACGGCTACTACTCTTTGTTTTAATAGATATGGTAAAATGGCAGTCAGAGAATCAATATTAAAATCGGTCTATGCATTGACTTGCCTGTGTTCCAGTGCAAACTCCATTGCTACATACAGCCTGATCTGAAAAAGGGTTTTCTTTCATTGAAGTTGATGAACACCTAGAAAATCTTTTGGCTCTGTAATGTKTATGTGACTTGTACGTTTAAATTCTACAATCAAATATTTATAAAGTGCTGTTACTACAAAATGCTGTGTGTTATTTAATCTGCTACTTGGAGTTTGTTAGTAATTATGAATCTTCATTTTGATAAGTCATTTTTATCATTCACGCCAAGTGACATTAACTCACCTTCTGTATTGACTGCACAACCCGACACAATGAAATGTTTGTGATGGAAGTGACACTTGAAACCACTTCCTGCTCAGCCAGTGACTCAGTAGACAGTTTGTTCTTCTTTCACACAATAGGAGAGACACTACCAGAGCAGCAGCACCTGACCCAGGACATCTCCTGGAGGATTGTATCACTCATTTGATAAGACAGTTTATGGATGTGGAGCCACTGGGGTAGGTTTATGCTTAATTTACTTTGTACAGTCTTGTTAGCTCATCTGCTAAAGTCAGTGTGACTAGGCCACAGAATACTTTGCWAGCATTGTGTGCTGCTTTTCAAGACACATACCCAGGCATGTGCACAGACATCTTTGGAAGCAGGTGCTCAAGCCAAAAAAAAGGCCACCCATCGCCAAAATGATTCATAAAATTAAGAAAAAACACAGTCGGATATATTAAACTTATATTTTTAATTTTTTAAATGAATAAATAATAGGCAAAAAATAATCAGAAAAATATTCTCAGTTAAAACTTATCAAAACTCTGCTCTGAATAAATGAAATAAAAATAAAGCATCCAATATATTCTATAAAATACTGCCATTTACAAAGGACGGGAAGGGAGCAGGATCGTCAAGATTTTTATGACCTCACTCTGGTTCATTTGTATGTCTTGCTCAATGGCAAGCAGGAGAAGGCCAGAGAGTCTTTCTTCCCCACAGAGGATCTTTATTTACGAAACAGTAAAACTGTCTTTAATTCTCTGTCTGTCTGTCTGTCTGTCTGTCTGTCTGTCTGTCTGCTGCAGCAGTCTGTATCTCTCTCCCCCTCTCTCTTCATTGAACATGACAAACGTCAGTAAATAGCTGGACAAGGCTTTGAAATCACAGATTTCATTAGTACAAAACATGTAGGCTATGCGTTATGCATGGATAATCTTTGTATGAAAAGGCAAGCGGGTGTGATGCCTAATGCTTTTATTTCATTCAAGTATTTTCTCACAGATGATATCCCGTTGACTACTGCATTGTAAATCATTCCAGTTGTTTAAGTGATCTCGGAGTGTTATCTGAACACAGTCTTCCACATCTCCCCAATTATCCGGCTGGGTTGGTGCCCAATACCTAGAGATGAACAAAAACTGCTCAGCAAAAAATGTATGCTGTTATTTAGTATTAAAGATCAATACTGTTGACATCCGTAGATTACATATCCATAGCACATTATTACATGGTCATTTTGATTCTTAAATGAATGTTGAATATAGAAATACNGGTCCACCTCACCATGCTTGTCATGTGGACCTCTGTGACAGAGTGCTGCTTGATTTTTTCAAGAGCACTATTCCACTTTCTGATCCCTTTTCTCGCAGACAACTGACACAATGCATTGAATCACCACATCAGCACATCACAGCACATCACAGCGCATCACAGCGCATCACAGCGCATCACAGCGCATCACAGCGCATCACAGCGCATCACAGCACATCACAGCACATCACAATGTGGTTTCCTGCAGGAAACCACATTGTGATGTGCTGCTTTTTGCGGGCGAGGAGGAAGGTGGAGGTTGGAGCAGAATTCTCACAAGAACTCAAATAAATGCCATCAGTGGCAAAACACTGTTGGGCTCCAGCAGAAAGGGCACTTTTCTCATCCAGAACAAAGGGCAGGTGCTTGAGCACCACTAGGGGTCTATCTGTGCACATGCCTGGTAAGATGAATGTTATGATGCAGAAAATAAGAACATCTTGTATCTTTCAATTAAATTGTTTAACACATTTTTATGTTCATGTAAAAGCGATTTTAATTTAAAACAGCGCTCGCTCCGTGTGGATCTCGCCGGGCATCGCGCACTCTGCACCAGTGGAGCCCCTGCACTCCGCCTGACTCTCTGGCCAGAGCGACATGGAAAGAGGAAGACGCAAGGAAAGAGAGAAAGAGAGAGTGAAAGAGAGAGAGAGAAGCCTGAGACACGGTGAACTTGACGAGACATCTGGAACTGGGATCTCTGGAACTCTGGAAAACTCATTTAATATCATCAGATACTTTGCGGGTGAGTGGAGAGGAGCGCTCGCTCCGTGTGGATCTCGCCGGGCATCGCGCACCGTGGCTCGGCCTATGGAGCTTTTTTTCCTTCTTACCGGCGGAGCAGTTGAGATAGACATGTGATATTTTATTGCGGGCATTGAGTTTGACATGTCTGGGTTRAAGGCATTKTCCATGAGGCAGCCATGAGATGATCTGTTAGTATGAGCATTCCAGAAAATTCTTATCCCCAGAATGATTCTGTAATACCTCTGGTGAAGGAAGGAGAGAGCCCGAGTCGTTGCCTCAGTGTTTTATTCACCCACAATATGAGTCCCTGAACACGAGCTGCTGTCACAGCCACAACTCACACTGATACTTCCTSATCACACTCTCCTTCTAACCATAGACTGTATATAAAGAGGTTATAACTCCACCCACTGAACCTGCAGCCAAACAACATTAGGTTGTTCTGTCATATCTCTTCTCGGTCGTGGAGGATGACTCATACTGAACTTTGCTCGGAGCTCGTTTTCTACCTGACCACACTGGGAAAGAGACTTTTGTGTTTTAACAACGTTTCGCTTGTGAATTATTGATCCGAAGTTCGAATCTGTGAATATGTTTCCAACTTCCCTCAGCGGCTGTGTGGCGTCGAGAGATCTTTTTCCAKGAAGTRAATAAGTTTCACCATTTTTCTTATCCAGCTCCGAGGACACTCMCTTTGAAAMCGARAGCTCACTGCCTGTAGACGGAACATGGAAGTTCGTCTGATCGTGTTAACGACGGTAAGCTGAGTGAATTTCTATAGAACCTCTGAATGTTGCATATTACAGAGCAGGAGTGAACCAGTAGATTGTTGTGATGTCGCTGATAAATCGACACCGTGAGTTTGTGGAGATGAAMCAATAAGTTGTTCGCTGTGWACTGGTGTTATCAACAAAGTGTCACTGTCAGAGAACTACTGCAAACATGGTCTGAGTCTGAGTKGTGTAAAACCTTCAGGTTTGGATGAGGAAGTGTGGAATCTGAATCATCTGAAAAACTAAAATCACATCAGGATTTAGGTGGAAACTCGCTCCTCCACTCTGCAGTAATCCTGTGATCAGTTATCATGTCAGAAAAACCACCATCTGCTCACATATGATACCAACTCTTAGCTGTGTGACCGTGGTGTGTTGTGTATTTGTSCAGAGCTCAGTTTCAGTATCTTGAAACAGTCAAAGACACATAGAGGTCACTTCCTATTTCAAATCAACAGGATCTCACTGAACTGTACACTGTAACAAATTGCTGTATATTTACGGTGGATTACAACAGTTTCCTACTGTATTTTATAATAATTGTAAAATACTGTTAACTATTCATCCCTCACATGTAAATTAACAGTTAAATCAGTAATTTAACAATACCAGTAGATAACTGTAATTTAACAGCATAAAACAGTATTTGTAATGAATTGCTGTAAATTTACGGTGGATTACAACAGTATCTTACTGTATTTTAAAATAACTGTAAAATACTGTTAAATATTCATGCT